TATTACTAGCTATACTTATTCACCTATAGTTTATAGATGAAATTGCTTCCTGTGGACGTATCCGAACTACAGGCATCTTCATTTCCAATTATTAGGAAACTGAGTCTCCATTTCTTCAGTTATAAAATGGTATGCTAGGGCCAATAATGGATATCACCCTGGGCACGTCTGGCATTCAGGTCTGGGAATTTAGACCTGCTTTAGGCAGACACCAGCTGCATTAATAAAACCTGACACTAGGAGGCAGGATTGCTACATCCAAGTTCCCACCTGCCCTTTTAAAAAAAATTTTTGTCTCTGCTCTTTCCTCTCCCTCTCCTTCTGTGCTGAGGATTGAATCCAGGGCCTCTGCACTGAGCTACACACCCAAGTTTTTATTTTTTATTTGGAGACAGGGTCTCACTAAGTTGCCAAGACTGAGCTTGAACTTGAGATCCTCCTGCCTCAGTCTCCCAAAGTGCTGGGATTAGTTATGTACCACCACGCCCAGCTGATAGTCTAACTTTCCATTTTGAAAGAAATTAAACATACAAGACAGTAAAACAGCATAATGGATCATGTGCCTGCCACTAAGTTTCAACAGCTATGAATATTTTGCCAATCTTCCTGTTTGTTGTGCAACTTTTAGAGTATTTTAAAATATCTCAGACTTCATTTCATCCAAAGTACACAGGCATACTGTTCCAATTGAAAAAACTGAAAAAGACTTTTACCTTCACAAACACTTTCATCATTGCACCTAAGTAAAAAGAATACCTGATCTTTCCATTCATATTCAAATTTCCCTGATCCTACCAAAGATGTCTTTCTAGGGGTGGTGGCACATCCCTGTGATCCCAGCACTTGCAAGGCTGAGGCAGGAGCATTGCTGTGTTTGCGGCCAGCCTGGGTTTACATAGTGAGTTCAAGGCCAGCCTGGACTACATAGTGAGACCCTGCTTTAAAAAAACCCAAATAAGTCTTTTTGACAGCTGGCTCATATGAATCGGTATCCAAATGACTTTATTGTATTTAGTCAATCTCTTGATCTTTTTTTTTTTTTTTTGGTACCAGGGATCGAACTCGAGTCCTTGCACTTGCGCAGCAGGCGACAAAACAAGCTCTTGATCTTTATGCTTCTCTTTTTAACTTTCACACCATGAATGTGTTGGAAAAACCAGGATACCTGTCTGTAGGATGTGCTACATTTTGAATTTGGCTGATTGTGATTTTGCCCATTCCCCATCATAGTTAGATCTTGGTTTGATTGGGCTCTTTCTTTTTTTAGGCAAGAATATTTCATGGAATGTACTATAGCCTCCTCTCAGTGATTTTAAGATTGGTCAGTGTGTTCGAGCGGTGTTAAACTCATTACAAAATTTCCCAAAACTTTTCACCAAATTAATTTAGCACCACTCTATGAACATTCCCTGGACTGTTTCATTAGGGTTTGAAAAACTGTGCTTTTTAAGTTTGCTTTGTTTTGGTTTTGTCTGTTTTTTGTTTTTTTGGTACCGGGAAATTGAACTCGAGTCCTTGCGCTTGTGAGGCAGGCAGCAGAACCACTGAGCTAAATCCCTGGCCCCTAGGTTTTGTCTGTTTTTTGAGACAGGATCTCACTATATAGTCCAAGCTGGCCTTAAACTCCTGGTGATCCTCCTGCCTCAGCTTCCCAAGCATAGGGATTACAGGTGTGCACCACCAGGCCCAACTAAAAACTGCTTTTGTAATCCTATCATTTCTACCGCATTTATTAGCTGGAATTCCTCCACAGAAAATAATCTTCTAAAGACCAGAAAAATGTTTATTTCCCTTTATGCTGCTGATAATGAGATTTTTTTCCTTAAGTGCAATCATGAAGTAGTGGATTTTTACAAATTTTATGTGTTGTAATCTTCTGAAGCAATTATTTTTCTCTTAATGCTCAAATTGTTCCACCTTTGACCAGTGAGGCCCTTTTGGATCGGTTCCTTGTCATTTTTATATGATCCCATCAGTTTCATAGATTCCTGGCTTCCAGGCACAAGGCGACCTAGTTCATCTTTCCAGCTCCAGATCTGGAATCAGCCATCAGAGGAACCTTGATTTTTTGTTTTGTTTATTTTTAATTTTTGATGTTTGTTTTTGGTACCAGGGATTGAACTCGGGTCCTTGTGCTTTCGAGGCAGGCAGCAGAACCACTGAGCTAAATCCCTGGCCCTATTTTGATTTATTTATTTATTTATTTATTTATTTATTTATTTAGTTTTGGTACCAGGGATCGAACTCGGGTCCTTGTGCTTGCACAGCAGGCGGCAAAACCACTGAGCTAAATCCCGGGCCCTTTGGCCCTATTTTTAATTTTTTAAACTTAAAAATGCTATGTAAGGGGCTGGGGATTTAGCTCAGTGGTTTCCTCATCTGCTGCACAAGCACAAGGACCCAAGTTCGATCCCCGGTACCAAAAAAAAAAAAAAAAATGCTATGTAAAGACCAAATATGTGCATAGGGCTGCTCATTACTACTGAATTCATCGTTGTTTCTAGGCCTTTTCAGCAGAGAGCTGGAAAATACATTTTTTAAGAGAAAAATGCATTCTTTATACTACTATGTAATTCAGATCTAAGTTAATCCTAAACTTCTTTTATGCTTGTAACTTTCTCCCATATCCTGAAAAATCTTGGTTCCTAATGCCATTGCTTATTTGCTTTATTTTACATCAGTTTCAAAATTGCAATATTTTTCCTAAGAATAAAACTCATGGGCCGGGGATTTAGCTCAGTGGTTCCACTGCCTGTCCTGCAAGTGCAAGGTCCCGATTTCGATCCCCGGTACCCCCTGCCCCCCCAAAAATAAGACTCATGATATACTTTGTATTTCTATGCAATTTTAGGTGTCCTTGTACTGTATCTCACAGCAGTAGTCAAAATACTAAAGCCACTTGAAATGATTTTCTCTGTGTACTTATGCCATCATCTGACACAGATGGTTCATTTGTTCGTTTCCATTTCACTTTTATAGAATGCTTTATTCTTTTTATTGAAGTATTTTATAAATGTGCAAAATGTTTACAAGTTTCCAAAAGAATAACTATGTAATAAGGTGCATTCAAGAAGTCTCATTTCCAACTCTATGCTATCCTTCAAACACAGGCAAGCATTTTGAGAAGTTTGGCATTTGTCCTTCCATTGTTTTATCTTTCAAATGTAAGCAATTAGTTCATAGGTATATCTCTCCATTACACATACCGAAGTTAGCCCACTACAAACACTACTATGCACCTTATTTCACTTAACACTAGCCTCTACAATTACAAGAAGTGCTCAAAGTGGTGGCCATTAGCTTCCAGACATTTAGTACGGCAAACTGCTATAGTATGTACAGTTTTTTGGTGGACTCTCTCTAGAGAGACAGAGATCTTGCCATATTAATGGAGTTTTGGTGGGGTTTTTTTGCCGTACTGCGGATGGAACTCAGGACCTTGTGCTTACCAGGCAGGCAAAGACAATGAGCTACACCCCCAGGCCCATATTAATTTTTTTAGTATCTATATAAACTCTTCCCATATCTTTTCTTTTTCTAGTACTGGGGATTGAACTCAGGATCTTCACACTGAGCTACACTTCCAGCCTTTTGGTGGTTTTTTGGTTCCTCTTGAGACAGGGTCTCACTCAGTAATTCAAGCTGGCCTTGAACTATGTAGCCCAGGTTGGGCTTGAACTCAAGGTGATCCTCCTACCTCAGCCTCCTGAGTTGAGTTCTGGGATTACAGGGATGCGCCACCACACCCCACTTTTGTTTTGAGGTGGAGTCTAAGTTGCCCAAGTGGAACCTGAACTTGCAATCTTACTGCCTATCCTCCAAGAGTGCTAGAATTACTCTTCCCAATATCTTTTTATGGCTGCATATCCATTCCGTATATTAAAAGTTATTCAACCAATTTTTTAGATGTGTGGGTAGTTTTTAATCTTTTGCCATTCATTAATGCCATAATGAAGAACATGGTGGACACAGTATTTCTACATTTTTGCCAATATATTACTGGCATAGGTTCCTAGAAGTCTAGGATTTAACCTAGGGCTACTGGGTCAAATGGTAAATGCATATGTAATGTAGCTCTATCTTGATAAATTACATCATTTTGCTTTCCCACCAGCAATGTAGATGCTAGCCTTAGGTGAGTTTTGATACAGTTGAGAAGGTTGCAGAGGTGAATCACAGGCAAGGTTCCTGTCCCCAGGAACTGTCTAGCAGAACGTAAACAACAAACAAAATGACAGGACCTACATAGATTTACCCTGAAGCTAATGAAGCTTAAGCTTCAGAGTCCTCCCTTGCAGGACCCTTTCTAACGGCCCCAGTGTGTACAGGGCCATTCTGTAACCTTTTTCCTAGAGAACATCTCAAATTATTCAATTTCAGGGCCACAGGACTTAAATTCACTTCACAGACTCGCTTGGGGTGTGGATTTCAAATCTCAGTTCTGCAACCGGCTTGAGAGGAGGGACTCCTACAATACTTAATTACAAAGGTGAAAAGAAAGAGCCAAAGAAATATCCCTCTCCTGACTCCCTCCCCAATAAGCCACACTGGTAGTTAGCTGTCTATACAGAGCCTTCCATATTTTTCTTCTACTTGCCAGGGCAAGAAACGACACCAGTATTCCAGAAAATCAGGTAAAGAATGGTATATGGATGGCACTCAGGACAAAAATCTCAACGAACTGCAGCAGTTTGGAGGGCTGTTACCCTCTTAGGGGAAAGGGTATTCACAGTCTATACTTTTGGTCAAATGAGGCAGAGGTCGGCTTCCTCCCTTGTAAAAGCGGACCGGTAATAAGGCCTCCCTGCTGTGGTTTGGTTAGGATCAAGTGAGCTCATTTATATAAAGACCTAAACCAGTCCCAGATTCGGAAGAAGGCTCATAAATGGAAGTCAGAAAGTAAAATGGTTGATCTTGGCAGTATTGGAGTTTCTTTGCTCATCAAGCCTTAGCACCAGGTGCAGGAACGACCACCTTACTAACAAAAATTGTAGGTGCGGCATAACCTGGGAAAGAATGGACATTTTGGGACGATGCTTACAGATCTATGTAACTGGATGGATGATTGGTCCTAGTTTGAGTGACTGTCAGCCTGGAGGTGGCTGTCGGGCCGACAGCTGCGGAGAGAGGGGATATTTGATCACCAGCCATGGGGCAGCCAAAGGACTCCGGAGGCTGAGGTCCCCAGAACCGCAGTCATGGCTGTCAATCCCCGCCCCGCCGGGCTTGGACCGGGGCGACTTCCCTCGCACCTCGCTGGCAGGATCCTGACCCTCGTTCTGGGCGTCAGGGGCGGACCAGGTTCGGACGCCGCCTCACTCTCCTTTCCAAGCCCCCCACGCCCGCGGCCACGGCCTGGGAACAATGGAGCGCCCGCTTCTTTAAGGGAGATACCACCGAGCCGGCGAGGCAGGGGATGGCGTCCTCCCAGATGATCGCACCCAGCCCCGTGCCACCGCCGCCTCGGCAACCGGGCCGCCTGAGGACAAAAGGTAATGCCTGCCTGCCGGCAGGGCGCACATCAAACCTCCCAGCTGGGACCGCGCCTGCCCGCCGGGCCGCCGCAGAGCTCCGCGTCCCGCAGTCACCCCAGCCCCTCGCGGACCAAAATGCACCAAGCGTCCCGAACCAGAGACCCCCGCATGGCAGCCCGCGTCTCGGTAGGTTAGAAGGGGGGTGCAGGGGAGGCTGCGGTCCGGCCCATGCACCCCTAGGCCCGGGTCTGCCGTCGCAGACGCTCCCCAGAGCCGTGCACGCCCACTGAGGCTGCAGGATGACCGAGCCCAGGCGTGAAGTGACGTCCCTGTTCCCGGCCGACCACCCCTGCAAGGCGCGGCGGCAGTGGTGCGCTCCGGAGCGCGCACACCTCTCGCAGCCCGGGATCCGCACCGCTCTGGGGAGGGGAGCGTCCAGCCAGACGTCGGGGGCGCGCGGGAGGCGACGCACGGTGGCGCGACGCTACGGAAAGCCGGAGGGGGGCGGGGCCGCCGGCGTGAGGGGGTGTGTCCGCGCGCTCCACGGGGCCGCGCGCCGGCCTCTGACTGGAGGCCGCGGCGGCAGAGGCGCGAGCTGCACGATAATGGCGGCCTGCAGGGCCCGTGAGAGGGAGAAGCGGCGGCAGCTACCCTGAGGTAAATGCGGCCCCTCGGCGTGGCGCCAAAGCCTTGCCGCAGAGCCGACGGCCCTGCATGTGCCTCCCTCCCCAGCGGGCCTGTCACGGACCTGTCAGCGGAGCCGTCCCGAGGAAGGCCTCGCGCTCAGGCCACACGGGTCCCCGCTGCGGCCTCTGCTCTCGCCGGGCCCCTCCCCGGGCCCCAGCCCTCCGCCTGCAGCCCAGAGTTGAACCGCTGAGGGCCGGCTCCTGAGATGAAGGCCGCGGCAGAATCTCTGCGCCTTTTCGCTGCACCTCCGGCCGGGCATTGAGCGCGGCCTGAGCCCAGCGCCGGGCAGCACCTCCGGCCCTGACTGGCTCTGGCCGGCCACCGGCATGTGTGTGGCCCGGCCGACCCGCGCCCTGTGCTGGGTGAGCGCGGCAGATCCGAGGGCCCGGGAAATGCCAGCGTTAAGTCACTTAGTTCACTCAGGGTGGCTCACCGTGATGTTTTTTGATCCAGGATCCCAAGGATTTCAGAGCCCCTTCTTTCTGCCTTATTCCGGAAGATGCACTCTCGGATAGGGATTATACCTGACCAAAGACGAGATGGGGCTGCTTCAGGGAAGGGATCCACTTGGAAATGCATAGTATCTGGCAGTCCACCTAGGACAAGAGAGAGTGCCCGCCTTTACTTCTTTGACAGGAAATCAGACACTAGGAAATACAACAGGAATTTGAAAGGTAGATGGCCAATTAGAGGAAATGGGATTTAAAGCATTCTCAAAAGCAGTCTTTTTTTAATTAAATCTGTCTTTTAGACTTAAAGTTAGCAGTTCCTAATCTCTCACAGTCTAGAACCACTCGCATTTTATCTCCCCAGTTCCACAGTATAAATATTGCACAATTCCAGGTTTTGTTTTTCGGTTGGGGCAGTTACCGGGGATCGAACTCAGGAACTTGAGCTTGCGAGGCAGGCGCGGTGCCACCGAGCTAAATCTCCGGCATCCCAGGTTATTTTTCTTGCCTATGGTGCCAATCTACAAATGAGAATTTGGGCAGTAGGGAGGCACACTTTAGACTTTCTCCATTCAACACGTGAGCGTTTCTGTGTAAGACCTTTGCTCTTGCCTTTGATTTAGCAAGGTGAATTCCAGATAACTTTTGTCGGACTGCCCCTTGATCTGTAGGATGGTTTTTCCTGGCAAAAATGACCTAGAACTAAATAGCTATCGTTAAACAACAAAAAGGTACAGTAGTTACATTCTACAAAGCTATTTTGCAAGAAATAAGAAAATAACAATTAAAATATGAACATACTGGGTTGGCTGTTTACTTTTAAGTAATAAAAACAACTACATGTTTTCAATTCTATAAGTGATCTGGTTCATTTTCAGTCTTTAAGCATAAGCCAGGTGTTTGTGTTTCAGTGAGGATTTTTTGTTTTTGCTGTTTTTATAACTGTCAAGCTTAAAGAGAAGCTGGTCACTTCCTTGCTTGTTTATTCATGATTAATAAATAAAAATGCTGAATTTGGGGATTTATTTTTAACAGTGACATTTTGAAGCAGTATAGTTTGGTGATTGGAGTCTTGGCTATCTGAGCCAGATGGCCTGGTTTCAAATCCCAGGTTCATCAGGTACTAGCTATTTGACTTAGGTATTTTACTTAATCTCTCTGTGCTTTAATTTCCATATCTCTAAAATGATTATAATAATACCTACCTCGTAAGACTATTGTGAGGAATTTTGGTTATTATGAATAAAGCTACTATATATATATAGTTTTGGTTTTTTGTTTTTTGGGTTTTTTTTGATACCAGGGATCGAACTCAGGTCCTTGCACTTGTGCAGCAGGCAGCGAAACCACTGAGCTAAATCCCCAGCCCGCTACTATATGTGTGTGTGTGTGTGTGTATATAAAAGACTATTGTGAGGATTAAATTAATATTATAAAGTGCTTGAAATAATTCCTGATACATATGTACTACCTGTTAATCTTTGTTATTATGAGAATTAGATTTGTCCAAGATATATCAAATATCTTTCAAGCACTGCAGAGTGAAACAGATGGTAACTAAATTATACATAAAGAAAAATACAAGCAGGACCAGAGATTTAGCTCAGTGGTTTCACCACCTGCTGTGCAAGCACAAGGACCCAAGTTCGATCTACGGTACCAAAAAAAAAAGAAAGAAAAGGAGAATACAAGCCAGTAGATATACCTAATTTTAACAGAGCACTTTGTTGATTTTTCTAGAAACCTTGACCTTGAAGATGGTGAGTAGCCAGCCAAAGTACGATCTAATACGGGAGGTAGGCCGAGGCAGTTACGGTGTTGTGTATGAAGCCGTCATCAGAAAGACTTCTGCACGGGTTGCAGTGAAGAAAATTCGATGCCACGCACCTGAAAATGTTGAGCTAGCCCTTCGTGAGTTCTGGGCACTAAGCAGTATCAAGAGCCAGCATCCAAATGTGATTCACTTGGAAGAATGCATCCTACAGAAAGATGGGATGGTGCAAAAGATGTCCCACGGCTCTAATTCTTCCCTTTACTTACAGGTATGTGTCACTGGATATGAAATACAGTAGAAATGATTTGTCATAACATTTGTCTGCAACAAAGAGGAATGAAAGGGTCAGATGAACTTCTCCCTTTAAATGCTGATATTTTATGGATAAGGGTAGATAGGCCTGCCAGGTATAGAATAGATGTTTGTTTTAAAACAAGGTTTTATTTAAACTTGTGATGCACATACCTAAAAATATCATAAGCCACCTGTTACTCCATGGTACTTGCCAGTCTGCATAGGAATGGGGCAAGAGAGGAGCTCTAACGTGCTTGAGACTAGAGTCTAAGAAGTTCACTTCTTTGAAATCACTGTTTTTGGAACTAAAGACAGAAGAAAAGGAAAAACCACAACAAATAGTAGCACCTATAGATAATTGGACATCTTTTTTATAAATCACTGGTTTAAACATAAGCCTTTGCTGTTTTGGAGGGTTATGTGGTTTCTTACCTAGTCATTCAGTTTCAGTTAATTTTCACAAAGCATGTAGTTTAGTACCTGAATGTTATTAACGTTGCCAGTAGCTAACATTTGGTTTCCTACTTGATTCCATGCTCTGTGCTGAGTGCTTTAGAGGCAGTTGCTCAAAACAGTCCTAAAGGGGGCCAGGGATTTAGCTAGCTCAGTGGTTTCGCCGCCTGTTGTGCAAGTGCAAAGACCTGAGTTCGATCCCCGGTACCAAAACAAACAAACAAACAAACTCAAAACAGTCCTAAGAGGAAAATACTATTATTGTCTCAATTACAGATGAAGAAACTGAGACTTAGAATAATGAATTTATCCAAAGTCACCTATCTAGCAAGTGGCAGATTGGGAGCCAAACCTAAGACCATCTGACAGCTAAAGGTTATCCTCCTTTACAAATTACTTTTTTGTAGAATTGGGAAAGTTGGGTTGTTTGTTTGTTGAGACAGGGTCTCTCTGTGTAGTTCAAGCTGGCCTTGAATTTACAGTGACCCTCCTGCCTCAGCCTCCCAAGTACAGGGATTACAGGTATGTGCCACCATACCTGGCTTGAGTAAGTATTTTTTAAAGGTTGGCTTCTGCCTTTAATCAAAATCTCTACAGCTGTTCGCACAGTAAAAAAAAGATACTTCAGACATAGCTAGTGAAAGGCCAGAGCCGAATTTAAGGCCAGTCATTCTTGGAAAAGGTAATGGCTTTCCTTGAGTGGTGTTTTGTTTTCTTTTTGAAACAGGGTCTCGCTATGTAGTTCAGGCTGTCCTTGAACTCACCATGTAGCCCAAGCTGACCTCAAATTAGAGGCAATCCTACCTGGGCCTCCCAAGTGCTGGAATTACAGATGTGTGCCAACACACGCAGCCTCCTTGAGTGTATCAAAATTCAGAATTTACCCTCAAACTTTCAGGCTTTTACCATTTAAAAGACTGTTTAAAACAGTGGTGGTAAACTTAGGGCACACATGCCTCAGCAGGCTGTTTGTTGTCATTGAAAGCTCTAAAAGGTTTGCCATCATTTTTTTAAAACATGCACACTTGGCCAGGGATTTAGCTCAGTGGTTTCGCTGCCTGCTGCACAAGTGCAAAGACCTGAGTTTGATCCCCGGTACCAAAAAACCAAAAAAACCCACGCACACCTGCAGGACATGATGGCACATGCCAGGAGGCTGAAGCAGGAGGACTGCCAGTTCGAAGCCAACCTGGGCTACATAGCAAGACCCTAAAAAACCCTAAATAGAGCCAGGAATGTGGCTCAGCAGTGCTGCGCCAGCCTGATAAGTGCAAGGTCCTGAGTTCAATTCCCAGTACTGGAAAGAAAAAAATGTAACTAAAATAATAAAGCTTTTGGACTAGGAATAACAAAGAAAAACAGATTGATCTGCATAATTAGAAACTGGGCTTGACATTGTACGATGAGAGACTTTAATTTGTTTTGCAGTTTAGCACCATATGCACTGAAGTTCTCACTCACTTTGTGTGTGTGTGTTTGTGTGTGTGTGTGGTATCAGGGAGCACTGAGGTATATTACCAGCCCTTTTTATTTTCTTTATTTGGGGACAGGGTCTTCCTAAATTTTCCAGGGTGATCTCAAATTTGTAATCCTGCTTCAGCCTCCTAAGTAGCTAGGGTTACAGGCATGTGCCACCATACCCAGCTCAAGTTTTATTTGTGTGTGTGTGTGTGTGTGTGTGTGTGTGTGCGCGCGCGCGCGCTCGCACGTTACTGAGAATTGAACCCAAGGCCTTCACACTGGGCTACATCCCTGGTCCTTTTTATTTATTACCTTGAAAAACAGGGTCATGCTCAGTTGCCCAGGCAGGGCTCCAACTTATGACCCTCCTGCTTCAGCCCCCCAAGTGCTAGGATTATAGGCATTCGCCACTGCATCTGGCTCCATACTCCCTCTTAAAAGTAGAGGAACCAGCAGCTGCTCCATAGGCTGACGCAGGAAGATGGCAGAATTCCAGATCAGCCTAGGCTAGGTTTGAACTTGAGATCTTCCTGCCTTGGCCTCCCAGAGTGCTGGAATTATAAGTGTTTGCCAATGTGCCTAGCTTTTCACAGTTTTAAGATGTAAAGTACTACTGACTTGATTCAGTGATTTTTTTTGTTTGGTTTGGTTTTTGTTTTTTGGATACAGGATCCCTCTTTATAGCCCAGTCTGGCCTCAAATTGGTGATCCTCCTGCCTCAGCCTCCAGAGCACTAGGGTGACAGGCATGCCCACCATGCCCAACATTCTGATTCAGTGATTTTTTCCTAAATTGCCTTTTTGTTCAGTAAACCTTTTCATCTTATAAAGCCTGATAGACCTGTATTGGACTACTGGCACTCTTTGTTATTGGAAGACCTTGATGAATAACCCAACTTTCCCCAGGATCTGTTTCATCATAGGCAAATTATGGGTAATAATTTCTAGTATCCATGGAAATTGTGAAAATTAGAGATGAGGCAGAAACAATACTTGGAGCACATAGGATGTACTCATTAATAAGTACTTGTATTAAAATGGCCTTTTCTGTGAATTCATTGACCAGACATTTCATAAACATATTTAGCAAGTGCCTTTTCTAAATTCTTCTATTTTAATAAAGACAGCCAATATTTATATCTCATAAAAACAAATGTGTAGTGGCACCAGAGTCCCTATGCATGGTCTTCTCCATTCTCTTTATAAAATTTGTAATTTTCTGTGTTTTTCCAGATATATTTTTCTTTATTCTCAGTGGGAATCACTGAATCCTTTCCTGATAGCTAAAAACCTCCCTTAGGATTCAAGGTCAAACAAATAATTAAGAGAGGACATAATCCATGTGTTGGAACTTAGTTTCCAATCTGTATACTTGTGATAAGGGTCATGGGTGAGAATTACAGGATGGTACAGGAGCATATACACAGGAGCGTATGTCAGGGAATCTGACATAATCTTGGAGTTGAGGAATTATGAGCTGTTTAAAACTTTAACTCAACAGGCATTAGCTAGATAAGTGACTGGCAGGCAGAAAGATCTTAAAGCAAAAAAAAGCATTTTAAGAATTAAAAGAATAGTAAGGTAGCAGTTTACAGAAAAAGCTGTTTTAGATGAGGTTAGGAGGGTCCATAGGAATCTTGGTTCACAAGGTCCCATAGCCCATATTAAAGAGCTTGGACTATATCTAGCTAATATCCATAGCTAATGTTCCCTACATAACAAAAACAAGGAAATTGGACGCTGTATTTCTGTAGCTCTCAACTAGAGACCCATGGTTACTTTCATGTGGTCTGGATACTAAAAATAGTTTTTACTTTTGTTTTTGACTCAAAGTCTTGCTATATAATCCAGGCTAGCCCTGAACTCAACTATATACCCCAGGCTGGCCTCCAACTTGGGATCCTCCTGCCTCAGGCTCCCAAGTGCTGTGACTATAGGCTTGTTTCACCATGCCCAGCAAGATTTTTTTTTAAAGGAAAGAAAGAAAATTGAAACCTTATGTGGCTTGTCAAGCCTAAAATATTTGTCTGGCCTTTCTCTAAAACATGATTTAAATATTGATTTGAGTTTGCTCAAAGATATTTAGGAAATTTGCTTTTGAAGGTAAAGCATGATTAATAACAGTGCAATGGTAAATATTTGTGTGAGCTGTACCTTTCTATTCTTTTATTTTTCTCTCTTTTCACTTGCACCACCTATGCAACAAGGAAAACACATACAAAAGAAACATCTGCAGGTCACTGCAATTGCTGTGGTTTGCCATGAGGGGAAATGGGATGAGGGGTATTCTTTGCTTCTGCCTCTGAAAATGACAAAAGGGAAGTACAAGTAAATTAAATGTAATCAATTCACTCACTCTTTGACAACACTTTGATTTTCTCTGTTCAACCCCTAAATCTGAAAAGTACTTCATACAAAAAATGTTTTTAAAGTACTATGCACTATATTTTAGTCTTTAAGAAACATGATGGGTAGAGTTCAGCTGATTGACAGATGCAGAAGATGTAGGCAAGTTGGACATTTTATGTATTTTTTTTTTTTTTTTAAATTTTAGTTTTTGAGACAGGGTCTCACTGTGTAGTTCAGGCTGCCCTTGAACTTGCAGTGATCCTCCTACCTCAGGCTCTTGAGTGCTGGGATTACAGGCATGTACCACCACACTTGGCTAGACATTTTTTTAAAGTCTCTTTTTAAAAGTTTTACCTCTTAGCTAAGAGATTGGGTATATATTCATTAGGAACAAAATGCCAGTTTAAAGTACTAAAGTTTAAAATGCACATATGGTGGGCTGTAATCCCAGCACTTGGGAATTCAAGACCAGCCTGAACTATATACTGAGACCGTGTCTCAAAAAAGCAAAACAAAAAAAGCACATATGAAAATACTGACCAAATAAAATATTCAGAGCATTTCCACTTAAAATTAGAGATTTAGGGCTAGGGTTATACTTAGTGGTAGAGCACTTGCCTAGCATGTGCAGGGACCTTGGTTCTGTCCGCAGCATTACCAAAACAAAACTGAAGACTGACTTTAACCTTTGAGTCAGTTATTTTTTTATTTTTTATTTTTTGGTACCAGGGATCGAACTTGGGACCTTGTGCTTGTAAAGCAGGCGTTGGCGGCACTGAGCTAAATCCCCGGCTCAAGTCAGTTATTTTTCTGTAACTGAATTGTATAACCTGTGCAGATGATTGTAATGGTTTTTTTTCCCCTTATAGCTTGTAGAGACTTCATTAAAAGGAGAAATTGCCTTTGATCCCAGAAGCGCCTATTATTTGTGGTTTGTGATGGATTTTTGTGACGGAGGAGATATGAATGAATATCTGTTGTCCCGAAAACCCAATCGTAAAACTAACACCAGCTTCATGCTTCAACTGAGCAGTGCCCTGGCTTTCTTGCATAAAAACCAGATCATCCACCGAGATCTGAAGCCTGATAACATCCTGATTTCTCAAAGCAGGTTGGATACAAGTGACTTGGAACCCACCTTGAAAGTGGCTGATTTTGGCCTAAGTAAAGTTTGTTCAGCCTCTGGGCAGAACCCAGAAGAACCTGTCAGTGTAAACAAATGTTTCCTTTCCACTGCATGTGGAACTGATTTCTACATGGCTCCTGAAGTGTGGGAAGGACACTACACAGCAAAAGCTGACATCTTTGCTCTGGGGATCATCATCTGGGCAATGCTGGAAAGGATCACATTCATAGACACAGAGACAAAGAAGGAACTCTTAGGGAGTTATGTAAAACAAGGAACTGAGATTGTGCCTGTTGGGGAGGCACTTTTGGAAAATCCCAAAATGGAACTTCTCATTCCTGTGAAAAAAAAGTCTATGAATGGGCGAATGAAACAACTGATTAAGGAAATGCTGGCTGCAAACCCTCAGGATCGCCCAGATGCTTTTGAATTAGAACTCAGATTAGTACAAATTGCATTTAAAGATAGCAGCTGGGAAACGTGACATATTATTTGCAAATATCTTGGATGATATGCTGCTTCTGATTTAACAGTGATGCAACATTATGTGGCTGAAAATACAAAAAACTAACTCCACATTCTAAGGGTTTAGATTTTATTGTGGGATGTTTCTTTTTCTTTATTTTTCTGAATTCAAGCCAGCCATTTTATTAGTATGTTTTAAATGTGTATTACCAATGTAAGTGTAAACATTTTTTTTTTAATGACCATTGGTAGAAGTTTGGCAGGAAAATTCTCTTAAGAGCCAAGAAAAGAGTCCAGTTTTCTGAAAATGTCTCTTAAGTATTTTAGACATTCCTTGTCAGTATTAGGCATTTCCATGGAAGAAGAGGTTTGCATGCTGGTAATGCAACCTTTGAAGCTTTGTAAAGGAGACATATATGTATATATTTATGTATATGTAAGTATGTGAATGTGTGTATTTTGCATTCCATATGAAGAAAATGCCACTTCTGTTTAAATTATTTGTTATAGGTTTGAGTTTTTGAGATTTGCTGATGAAATCAGTGATGAAAAAATAAATAAACCTCCCCTCATCTCCCTCCTTCTCCCTCCCTCTAGTGAAAAATACTAAGATTTTTGGGGGGGTAATAGTATATAGTTTTTTGGGGTTTTTTGAAACCATCATTTTGGAGGGGCTAAAATTATGAGTAAAAGTAATTGAAATTAAGCAATCCAAAGCTGCTGAAGTGTGTTTGAGCTCTCCAGTGCCCTATAGCTGTTAAGAGTTAATTATGCAATCATATATAGTGGATTGGCAAGGACACTGATAATTCAGTCACACCTTTAAGTAACTGAGCATTTGTTTAACTAATTAAACCACTGCATTGGGACATGTCTGTATTTTTTTTTTTTTTCCTGAGACAGGGTAGTCCAGGCTGGATTCCAACTCATGGCAATCCTCCTGCCTCAGTCTGCAGAGTGCTAGGATTATAGGCATGCACCACCACGCCCGGCTGACATGTCTACTTGAGCATTGGTAATCTGATACAAATCTGAACACAGGATTCTTCTGTTTCTGAAAATTTTTTGCTATAGGGCTGGGGATTTAGCTCAGTGGTTTCGCCGCCTGCTGAGCAAGCACAAGGACCCGAGTTCGATCCCGGGTACCAAAAAAAAAAAAAAGAGGTGAAAATTTTGCTATTAATGAACCGTAATACTTGATATATTAATTTTTTTATTTTAAGACTTTGTCTAAGCCTCAGCATAAAGTTGAAGAAACCAAATGAATTCTGCTGCCATGTTTCCTGCCCTTATACTGTCTCTTGTTGAATCACTGGAGTTCCTTTCATTTTGGCACTGATGCTGTTTTCTCCTGTCCCTTTGAGATACTAATGATAGTAATAATAGTTGTCTTAACTATTATCACCTTTCTTTAAAAGTGGAAGATGATACATATACAGCTTGGTAAGTGGATAAAATACTGTGGCATCAACTACTTTTCCAATAGAAAAGTTACTGATTTTATACCATCACTTGGTATGGTACGATCTATGACAGAAACCAAGAGACTATCATTCCTCTTGAAGTTAGTTTAATTTTAACTGTATGGTTCTCTCCAGTTTTTCTGTAAGTACAGATGGTTAAAATCTAAGGAAAGAATGCTTTTCTGAAAGAGAACATTAGCCTTTGAGGTTAAATAGACTTTACATTGTATCTAGATTGATCTTTCTAAAGCACCAGAATCTTTCTAAAACACTAGAGTTCAAAAAGTCAAAATAGTACTAGAATTTTGAAATTATTGATAGTTTCCATAGTGTCCTTGGGTTTTTTTTAACTTCTACAACTTTTAGAATATTACTATCATTTATCTCCCATTTAAAATGTGTTCAGATAATTGAAGGTAAAACATCACAAAAAAATTGGAGTATGTAAAATTTCTAGACAGTGTATTACTTAATCTGGAAGTTCAAAATTTGGACTGAAAGGTTAAAACCTTAGGGCCAGGGATTTAGCTTAGTGGTTTTGCTGCCTACTGCACGAGCGCAAGGACCGGAGTTCAATCCCTGGTACCAAAAAATAAATAAATAAAACCTTAAAGTGAAAAAAAGTCATATACATCTAACATCATTTCAAGCTATTAAATAGAATTCTTTTGGAAAGTAAAAGTGGCACTACACTGGAATTTCATGGTTATTGACTAATCCACCAAATTAGTTTTAACAGATCTGACCAAGGGGATTGAGTTGCTGGAAGTAAGAAAAAGCAAGTTACAATGTCTTACGAATAATGCAGCACCTCACAGCAGATAGGTGGGTAATAACCTTGCTAGCACTTCATTCGCTCTTTATGTATCTGTACTTGGAGCCACAGTTTCCTAAGCACTTGGTTTTTGGTCCTGCCTCATTTAAAATAGTTAATGATTATAATTTATTTCGTTTTGTTTTTTCTGGTGCTTGGTCTCGTACATACTACACAGATGCTTTACCACTGAGCTACATCCCCAGCCCTGATTATAGTTTATTTTGAAAGATTTTACTTGTGAAGTAGAATTTTCTTTCATTGGGGATAAAGGTATGAGGTGATCAGGAAGTTTCTTCTGGAATTTTCTCAAGTCCTTGTATTCTAAAATATCCAAACAAAATGATAAATTCGTTGTTTTCCTTTGTTCTTTCAGTCAGAGGTATTTATTAAGTACCTACTGTGTGGTCAGCACTAAAGATTAATTGATAAAAATGTTAAGTTTTAAATGGCATTTAGCCACAAGTCTTTCCCAGCCAAGAATAAAAAATAAAAGATGATTGGTGATACTTGGAAATTCCCAGATACTTGCTAGAGGAAAAATGAAATGGAGAATTTATGCACAGTGCCTTGCCCATAATAGGTACTCAATAAACAATTATTCCTCATAGTCTCTTGCCATGGTTTATATAGTGTTTTATGAAATTTGTCTTAATTGAAAAAGACCAAATATTCAAATAAGCTTATAGGCAGCTGTGTCCAGTTGAAATATAGGGTTTGTACAGTTAGTTCCTAGAATGTTACTTTGCACTAGTTGTCATTTAAAAAGATGGGGTTCCTGTAGATTTGTGGTGCTATGGGATACTTTGTCATTATGATGAAGTAAATGTTAAGTGTCAGATAAATAGCACACAGAATAGTTCTTTCTGCTGGTCTGGTTTTTTTTTTCTTTCTTGTTGTTTTTAATTGTAAAATGTTACCAAACTATTGTAGCAGCTACAAAATAATTCACCAGCATGACAAAATGGTCAAAAAAATAAGTCATCAGCACTTCAGAAATGAAAGCAACTTTTGAAATTTTCTTTTAAAATTGTCAAATATATTTTATGAAGAATTTATAAAAGGGGGAAATGATTGTAATTTATTGTTCATGACAGTTTTTTTTTTTTTTTTAAATAAAGTGAGTTTCAACAAAAAATCTTGAAAATTTTACTTTGCTGCTTTGGTGGCTCTGTGAGTGGTACTGTAGTGCCTTATTTCATGAGCATAAAAAAGAGGGTATGAAACTTGAAATAGTGTATTTTTCAGGCTTATCTATTAAATGATACTGTGAAATAGAAGCTACTGCTGAGGAAAAGATTGAATTATAGGAGTTGCAATATTTCAAGTTCTCTAAAATTTTAATTCTATCTTGCTTATTCTATATAAGAAAAACATATTGCTTGAGTTAAATTATTTTTCATTTATCCTACTTCATCTGAGTATACATTCCAGACTCAATGAAGTATATTAAATATACTAAGTGGATGCAGTGTTTTAATTGATAATGTGAGGCCATGGTTTCTTCTAGAATGAAGTAATCTATGTGGCCTGCTAGTCTTTTCCATTATAGATTTTGTTAATGTGTGCGTGAGGGTACAGTCTACTTAGTGGTTCCATTGGACAGCAGGAAAATACTGTGAGACAGGAATCCCTGTATGGGATCCAATGATTAGGAAAGTAGGCAGCAGGAGTTGTGGCTCCTTCTGTCACTGCCACCGGCTCCTGGTATAGCTTTTGTGGGCAGGCAAATTTTGCTTTCTATTTAGAGATTAAATCTTTTAAACTAAATATTTGTAGTTACTAACTTTTTTTTTTTTTGGCAATCCTTTGCAGTTTATAAACCAGCTTCACACAGCTTTACATCTTTTCATATATCTTTTACTTAAAATAGGGACTGGTTTCTTCATAAGGCAATAGTAATACCAATTACTGAGGTGAGGATAATGGTTTTGTCCAAGGACAGGGTTTTAGTGCCTAATCTCTGACTCCAGTTGGAGTTTTCTCTGACAGCAAAGCTTTATCTTTCTCACTGAAGTAACCCTTGGTTGTTTTGATTTCATTTTTAAACTCAAATGTTGCTCTCTTGGTCAGCCAATCAGAGACATCCTCTAAATTGCAGCGTAATGACAGACGTTTGTGGTTAGATAGTAACTCTTACTTGAGAAAACCTACAAGAAGGCCACACTTCCAAGGTAAAGTGCATCTTTTTTTTTTTTTTTTTTTTTTTTGGTACGGGGATCGAACTCAATACCTTGTGCTTTGAAGGAGGGGGTGGCACCACTGAGCTAAATCCCTGGCCCTAAAGTGCATTTTACAATGAGTTTTCATTGGTTAGAAGAGAATTGTTTTTTTTTTTAAAAAAAAGCCTAGGCTTTGGACTTCACTTTCATTTCCTGATCAGTCTGTTATTTCAAGCTTAGCTTGTTTGGAGCAAAAGTTGAGCAACTTGATATTACAGCAGACATCATAGCCTAGTGGCAAGAGCCTTTGGTGTAGCAGATCTGATGTGAATACAAGCTTTTGCAAATATATAAGTAATGTGTGTCATCAGGTAAGTCACTGCACTCCGAGCCTCAGTTCCCATATCTACAAAATAGAAAAGATGATGTTTACATTTCAGTTTTTGGAAGGATCAGAGATAGTACAGGGAAGTGCCTAGCATAGCGCCTGGAACATTAAATTGTCAAATATGTTGGCAACAGTTGCTGTATTCTGGTTTTGATGATATGAATGAATGGATTCCTCATTATCCAGTCTTCAGTTGTAGCTTTGATTCTCCTCCACTGTGGGAGAACCTGATGAAGGCACTAACTCCTCTCAGGAAAATGTTTACCATTCCAGGGGTTTTGTGGATCTCAGAAGCCCACATATACCCCAAAGTTCAAGGACTCTGAGCTTTAGGCTTTTCTAGTACCTCTATGCTAGGGCTCTTAAGTTAAAAGAGGCTATATGTGAGGAGATTCTAGAGAACCTATATTGTTTTATTTTTTAATTTAGTGTTGCTTAAATAGGTATGTTATTTTATGCAAATTTATCAAGCTGCACTGTGTGTGTGTGTGTGTGTGTGTGTTTGTGTGCACATGCACACACACGTGCATGCTTGGCTGGGGTGGAACCCATGGTCTTGTGCATGCTAAGCAAGGGCTCTACTACTGAGCTACATCCTCAGCCAGACACTTAAAATGTTTATACTTGGGCCTGGGATTTAGTGCAGTGGTTCCCGTGCCTGCCTCACAAG